TGGACCCCCATGTTCCCCAAGACTTAAAATGATACCATTTTCAGAATGAAACCCAGCCCATAGTCTGAAAATATTGGTTTCATTTAATTTTATTGACGTAAAATTCACTCATCATCACAACAATGCAAAGGTGAGCACGGCGACTTTTGTTGTTTTCATGTACTGTAAATGGACACTTATGTGAGCAGCGCAAACCAATTCCTCTTTTGATCAAAGGTGAAAACTGACAAGTACCTGAGCTGAGATCACATGGAACTCATGGAACGTTTCCATCAGTTTGGAAAAAAACCATCTCCACGCCGCCATAGTATTTTTTCCGATTCCTCATAGGCGACGCGGTGAGCCTGTTAAAGATTCTTCCGTCACTGGTTTTCACAGGTGACGCGGTGAGCCTGTTAAAGTAAAGATTCAAGGCTTCTTAAGGGTCAAATTTCCGGCGCTGCATTTCAGCGCAAATTCCATGGTCACCGGTCAAAATCACTGTCCAAGGCTTATCTTTTATTAAACTATATTTTTTGGGTTGTAGTTGTAATCTATCCACTTTTATGGGACGCCTTTGGAAAGTGATTTCTCAAAATTAATAGCTTGCAAGTTGCAAGTTGCAAGTTGACAAGCAATTCCGTAAGGCCTTGGGCCAAAACAAGTTAAACACAAAAATTGCTTTTCCATCTCGGTCCAAAGGCCAGGAACAATTTAACTGATGGCCTTATTGAAATTGAAATTGGATTTGGGGGAGCAGCGTATCGCCCCCCCAGCAGAAATCCAAGGCATTCTCTTGGTTTTCATGGCAAAGCCATTGAAGGAGGCTTTCAATTTGATGCCCCTCAAAAAGAATCTCCTGCCACCAGCCGAAGCTATCCTGGGGTGCCCACAGTCTGCCATCTTCATAGACCTACGCTACGCACAGTTTTGGACAGGTGAGGGTCTCAGATTCTTTCGCAAAACTCCAAAATGGAGAACTCTCCACACAACGTAAACGCAAATCAATCTCGAACATCCACAACTGAAACTTTCGAAATCCACATGAAACTGCAAAACAAGCAAACGACAAAATCAGCCATGCACAAAACTCAAGATGGATGAACTGGTGGATCACTCGGCCACTCGCACTTTTCTCTGGGTGGTGAGGTCTTGCGCGACTCCACTAAATGGTTGCTGCAAATTCCCCATTGTATCGAGATGCGCCTCGATTTGTTGTCAATGCCATCTCGGCAATAAACGCAAAACATCCAGCAGTCGTAGTGACACTGTAAAGGGAGCCCTTTGGCCAGAAAAATTGCAGCAAGCCAGTTTTGAGAAAGGAGAGGATCGTTCAGGAACCTCTCAAAGAAATCCAGTTCACGCAAGAATAGTCCAACCTCACCCCGCTCAGGGTGGGCTGGGATGGGTACCTGAAATTCTTTGATAGCCCAAGCTTCGTCGGAATATAAATATTGTATGACTTCCAGTGACATGAACTCCACGTTCAGTTTGTTTCCAATTTGTTTCAACTCAAGCAACCGACAAGTCTTTGAATAAAAGCAGCGTTTGAGAAAGACAGCAAACCACAAGCAACCAAACTGTGTTGAACTGCATCACCTGAAAGTAAATCAAGAAGCAACTTCGTCTGAACATCTTCCAAAAGTGTCGAAATAAAACGTCTTTTGCAGCAGTCAGTAAAACCAAATAAAGTGAACCTTCGCGACATCCACGAACCCACTGAGGCAAAGGGCAAGAACCCAAACATAAAGCTCCACCCACCCACCCGGCCAAAACTGTGCTTCACATAGACACACTGAGCGCGCCCAGTGGAGCCTACGCTACGCACAGTTTTGGACAGGTGAGGGTCTCAGATTCTTTCGCAAAACTCCAAAATGGAGAACTCTCCACACAACGTAAACGCAAATCAATCTCGAACATCCACAACTGAAACTTTCGAAATCCACATGAAACTGCAAAACAAGCAAACGACAAAATCAGCCATGCACAAAACTCAAGATGGATGAACTGGTGGATCACTCGGCCACTCGCACTTTTCTCTGGGTGGTGAGGTCTTGCGCGACTCCACTAAATGGTTGCTGCAAATTCCCCATTGTATCGAGATGCGCCTCGATTTGTTGTCAATGCCATCTCGGCAATAAACGCAAAACATCCAGCAGTCGTAGTGACACTGTAAAGGGAGCCCTTTGGCCAGAAAAATTGCAGCAAGCCAGTTTTGAGAAAGGAGAGGATCGTTCAGGAACCTCTCAAAGAAATCCCATCTTCAGAAGAGGTGACTGAATGAGGACCCACCGACCATCACCATGGTGACTTGTCCACATTTCCCTTGCGCAACTTTGGAGCCACTTTGGCGGCCTCTCTTGCCGCGTCCCTCGCAAGATCAAACTCTGTCCTCGTCCTCACCAATTCCATCAAGACAGACAAATCTAAACTGCTCCAAGTCAACACCACCCTCTGATTCTCCCTGAAGCCAGAAAACTCTTCATTTGTCAGTTGGTCAGCCTCGATGTTCTCTTCCCTCGGCCTCCACTGAAGGCCTAATGACAGCCTAGCCCTCGTGAGCGCTGCCGATAACTGCATGTTCACTGCCATCAACGGCCACTTCGTCGTTGAGCGTTTGGCCGATAAGGCCTGGTTGGCCAAGTTGTCTGTACCCGCAACCAAGTGTACTTCTAAAGTCTTCCTTTCCATTGTCTCCTCAAGCCAACCAAACGCATGTAGGGCAGCCAACGTGGCTAAGAGTTCAGCTGCCGTGGATGCCCACTGTGAAGCTCCATCAGGTTTGAAAAGGAAGGGAGCCTCCGCTGGCCCAATACGCAAACTGAACCACCTCTTTGAATCAAGCTCCCAACCCCCAAGTACAATGTACCCGTCAGCGCACTTTGCGTCAGTACGGAACCTCTCTCCAGTTATCATTTGTGGCCAACGTGTTGAAACCATGTATGACCCTGTTGTCAGCTGAACTTCAATGTACCTCAAGGTCAAAATGATTGTCTCCGGCAAGCGCCCAACTGTGCCCCTCGCAGTCACTGCTGACCAAGCATAAAGTGGTGCCAAGTGGGGCTTCAACCAAGTGATGAGTTGTGAAATGAAACCAAGCCGCCCCAAAAACTCAGCGAACTCCCTGGCAGGTACCACATATCCATTGGACCTCACCTTTAAGATCCACTGCACCAGCCAGTCACCTCGCTTGACTGTGATCCCAACTTGGGACAGGTCATATCTGATGTGGTATCCAACAAACTCAGAAGCGAACCCCCCTTTGAACTTGTGGTATCCGAACGGCGTACCCACCATCTCAAACGCCAAGACCCAAACCCATAGATGCAAGAACTTCTCGCACCCCACAAACGCACCATGCAAATCGTCAACGTAAATCATGTGCATCAACCAGCGCTTGTGGAACATGTGACCAACAAACCTCCCAATAAGACCAGCCAGCTTCGCCCACCAGTATGGCGCACTTGCCACACCAAAAGTGCCAGTGTGGTTAACCCAAACTGTGCTGGAACCTGAGTCTGCACGGCAACACAAGTAACCCCAATCGCGTCTTCTAATCTTGACCAACCTGTGAGCAGCTTTAATGTCGGCGCTCACGCAAAAGGGGGCTTCTCCAGTTGATGTTGCCTCGCGCACAATAGAGGCTATCTCAGCAGGGCCCGGACAATCTATCTTGTCCCTGTAAACAATGCTGTGGTTCACCATCACCGAATGGGTGGCGTCATGCAAAGGCCTCACAGTTCCGTCTGGCTTCATGATCGCAGCCATCGACGCCACTCTCAAAGAATCTCCAAACTCCTGTTTAAGGACACCCAGCTTAGAGGGATGCATGCGACCCAAACTCTCCTCCTCCCTAAACTTGTCCTCGAGCTCCTTTGCCGAAACTTGGGCGGACGCATAGTTCTCTGCAATCGGCACAAACTCTGTTTCATCCAACTTTCTATGTTTCAGCTTGGGAGGAAAGACCTGCGGTGATCTCGGTAGCTGCTTGTCAACCCCAACGAAAACCCCAGAAGCAAATGAATCCTCAACGTCAGTCAACCAGTGAACATCTGGATCATTGAACCGCTTGAGCCACTGAGAAAGTGCCCTCAAATAAAAGGGCTGTCCAGCATCTACCACGGCCGCACTCTGAGGATCATCCAGCAATGCAAACCACTTCGACCTGACCCTCTCCAGACAACTCTCGGAGAAAGGTGACTCAAGCAACTTGCCTGTCACCAGTTTGAAAGCTTCTCGCCGCACATCCTTAATTTCTGCAGCAACAGCATCTGCAAGAATCTTGTAAGTATCATCAGCCAACTTGACCATATCTGATGTACGTCCATCCCCTCTCATTGAAGGTTTCCACCTGCATGGACTGCACAGCCCAAAACCATCGATAAAACCTCTCCTGACCGTGTCCCACTCCACACCAATTGGTGTACCAGAATTGCAACAGGCTGCCAAATCAAATTCATCGCTCTCATTGTCAGGCAACTTATGTTCATCATCAATGCTTTGTGACCCTGTAGCCATGTTACTCTGCCGCGCGGGGGACTCCCCCATCTCTTTTCCAGAATCCTCAACCTGCTTGCAACCTCGCTCCCCTGAAACCATGCTATGTTTGGCCACTGAGCTGGCCTGCAACGCCAGCCCTGTTGAAGGCTCAATATGGCCAGATTGTAACCTCCTTCTCTTGCCAGGAGCCTGAACTGACTCATCGACCAACCCCCTTCCGAAGGATGCCTTAGCATGCAAGATGGGTCCAGCCAAAAATTCACACAACAACGGTGGGTATGATGCACTCGGTGCAGTGTTCCATTGTGAATCTGTCTTACCAATCAGCTTGTGGGAGTGCTCATGACTGCACTGTCGAGGCAATGGCCCTTTGTAAAATCCAAACTTGTCAAACTTTGGCAACGCACAATAACACCGTGAATCGTCCACTGTCATGTTAGTGAGAAATCTTGTAGGTTTGGGGGTCATGGCCCCAAAATTGCACTGATGCAACGCAAAGCTCACAGCTCCCAACTTGGGAATTAACTCCAAAAGCTCTGTCCACTGCCAGATGGATCCAGGGCGTTCTCCTCGAACAACGCCTAAATCTTCAGGATGCTCCAACAAAAATACGCCCCCAAATTCCGCTGCCATTTCACAAGCTGCTAAACACCTGTCAACGAACAAGTTAGCCTCTTCGACCTTCTGCATGTCACGGTTCTTGAGCCAAGGAAAACCTCTCGGCCAGGTCACATTTCGAAGAGGCTTCGGTCCAGGATGCTGCAATTGAAAACGTGCTCTGCTGAATGTATTGCAAGGTGGTGAAACAATGAGCACCCAGTCACCTTCCTTCAAAAGGTCACCAATGCGCTCCCACAACTTCTCGTCTGTCAAATCATGCTCTGGTGAACGCTCAATGTCGAATTCCATCAACTCCAGTCTGAAACCTTTGGATTGTGAGGCCTTCTTCAAGAACGACCCTATATCAGAATGGCGTTGACGCCCAGCAAAAAGGTACATCACTTTGAGAACTGGGGTATCATCCCCAAAGGCAGTTTGCGCAGCTTTGCTGGGTGTGGCCGCACTGCTGTCCTGTCAAGCAGCGGCCTTGGCATGATCCACCGCCTTGTGGCTGGCATAGCAACCTTTGACTCTGCACTGATGAACTCTGCCACAACTGCCGTCACAATCGCCTGCATTCCAAGCAAAACAAAGCTCACGTTGGTCAGGGGTCCTCCAAGCCAGGCTCAATCCCTTAAGACGCGGGTCTGCAGGCTTGCCTTTTGACTTGCCCTTTGATCCTTTCCCTTTTCCCTTTGTGAAGGGTGCAAACTGCTTGCCACTGAAACTGCCAGACCCACCCTTGTTGTTGTAGCGCAAGAACTTGTTAGGCTGCGCTTCAGGCATCGATGCACGCAATGCCATGGGCGTTGTGAAGTACGCCTCTTTGAGGTCCGGGTCCTTAATGACAGCCTCCAGTGCGTCAGATAGGGTGTGCCCAGACAACACCTTTTTCATGGCTTCCTTCCTGAGCTTGTGCTCGTAAGCCAAAACAATCGCCCAGTCAGGCTTGACACGTTGCTGAGCTGTCTCTGAAGATGTTGTTGGGATCTGCAACCCATACACACGATCACCCAAAATATACTCGGTGAACCTCTGAAACGGTGTCGCTGTCAATCCATGCAACCAATGCTTTGCTTTGTAACGTGAAGACATTGCAAGCCATGCATATGTCTCCACCTTCATCACCTTTCTGTATTCCTCCGTTGACACCGGCATCTTTGCCTTTGTCTTGGTCCTGGTGACCCTGATGTGGCCTGTATTGTCCACCGCCGACTGTATCTGTGAATTGGAAGAAGCCTGCTTGCTCAGTATCTCGTCCAGCGGTGCTGCTGTCGGCTCATTGCACTCTGTCTCCTCAGCCTTCAAAGAAAGGTAGTCCGAGGACGGGCACTCAGAGTCGTTGAGCTGGCCATGCACTGCCTCAACAGCTCTCAGCATAGCCTGCCTCTCATGTATCTGAAGCACCCTTGGTTGGCCCAGCACTTTAGCTTCAGCCTTCAACTCAATCTCTTTTGCCATGTACTCCTTCGCCGTCTCCCAAGCTGCAACGACTGAAGCCACTTGTGCACGGCCTGCCGGTGTGTCGTTCGGCATGGCGAAATCTTGTAAGCATGAAGTTCGAATAGCTGCTCTGTCGTCCCCCAGTGCGCTAAACTTGCGCAAGGTGCCATAATGGCGTGCAATCGCAACTTGATTCTCCAGCCCCACGCCTGATTCTCCTAGTATGAATTGCATGTCAGCATCCATGTTGTCTCTCACAAATTCCCTTTGTGCTGCAGGCTCCATTCTGTCCCACACAAGCGCGCACAGGTCGCGTGAGATCAGTCCCTCCCCTAGCGCGGTTCAAATCAAAACACCAATGCAGACAAAGGAAATCTGAAAACACTGCCAATTCACTTGCATCTCACTGACAGTGCAACACAAAATAACAAAGCAGAAAACAACTGAACAAACCTCAAAGAAGATCAATGTACACCCTTGGCATCCGGTCTGAACCGTGAATGACTGTCTTAACATGAAAAATCTCGTTGGCACCCTGAGGTCTGAGCCAACAGATTCATGACATGAGACTCATCTCAATCAACATGTCTCCACGTCTAAACGTAAGAGGGATTTGACACAATGAATCCAAGCAACGCAATGAGACACGAAACTCAAAAGTCACCACAACAAATGATCAACTCCAGTAAGAATGCAATCCGTTTGAATCGATCAAACCTGTGGACCTGCCTGAAAATCCCACAATGCCAAGTGATCACAAAAATGCCAAACAACATGCCAGAAGAAACTGCCGCAAAACAACAATCAAAATTGAAGCGACTGAAACCATCTGACAACAACTGCAACAGCCTCGGTTTTCCTGCGAAGGATGCACAGCAATCGATCTGGAAGAGTGAAAAGGTCTGCGTCTCAACGCACTTGTGACAATCCCTACCCTGCATGTCAATGCGGTTCAAACTTGCAACTCACTGCACAGTACCCACCTTGATGTGCGTTCAAACGCAATGCATGGACACTTCATCCATTGAGGTCTGCACCAGAAGCCGTCGACGATGACGACGCCGTTGACGACGTCTCCCCGCCATCGTCTCTGCCACACTCTGACAACATCTTGCGCTTGCAAGCTTGGCAAATGGAATCAAACTCATCGCTGCAAATTTCATCCATGTGCAACACTTCACAGCACCGATCAGGTTTGACGAAACATCCAGTCAAATGCAACCTCCTCAGTGAAGTCCTTCTGGAAATTGTGATGAAGAATTTGGTGGGTTTTGGGGCAAGAGTTGCCTCCCTTTCATTCAACTTGGCCACCGACTCTGCCAAAGCAACCTGGGCCTCAAGAGAATTGTCAGGCTCCTGCAAATCGTCATCAAACACCTCAATTGTTGGAAAAAATCCACCAAGAGAATTGCGGCCAGACCAGTTTGTCAACACCGTATGACGTTTCTTGATTCTGTTTGGGTTTGCACCTGACACCTCTGCAGCATCACAAAGCCTTTGGATGGCCTCGTCCTCGAAGTACTGCTCATCTTTCCCTTCAACAAGACTTCGGTTGACAGCACGTTGAATCTTGAAAACAACCTGTCTAGAAGTCCTGACATACTCCTCAGCAGATGTCATGCCCATTGTCCACCTACCAAGAAATGCACGCTCATCCCTGGAAAATCCAATTGCAGCTGCAATCGAAGTGAGGAAGTTTCGAGGACTGTGACCACTGAAAAATGACTCCAACCCATCTGGCAGCAACAGAACATGTGGCATAAGCTCCCAACCGTGCCCAGCCCTCCGTGGGACACATAGAAGGCTCAAGAGCTTTGAGATCTCAGAGCTCAGTCCAGCCGGCGTCAGGAACTTCCTCCTAACTTTGCTCCAATCTGCTGCCGGTTCCATAACCATGTAGTCCCGCCTGGACCGAAACTCATCTGACTCCCAAACTTCAAAGCCTGCTCGAAGCCAGTCTTCACCAGAAATCGAAGTTGTACGGTACACAAATGCCGCCACTTTTTTCTGCATCTTGTCAGGACCAGTTGTCTTGGTCTTCCCGAGCACCAACCTCAAACCAAAATTTGAAAGCATGCTCCTGTGCGGCAAAATCGCCTGCACATCGTCGCACCTCAGTGCTGCCCAGAGCATGCATAGCACTATCCATGCCAATGCGCGGTGGAATGCAGGGAGCGCCGTGTCCACCACTGTGAGCTCAAGTGAAATGACCATGGCCACCGTGTACATCTCAGCAGGCTTCCGCGGTGCAGCTTCTGCTGCAAGCTCAGCTGACCACGATTTAATGTGGCCCTTCCACACTGGATCATCTGAAATCCTGTTGCACTCCATCACTCTGCCGGTCTGCTCCAGCAACACCAAAGTCGCATTCAATGTGTCCGGGACTGTCTTCCCGCACCCCTCGTTGATCCTGTGCTGCAAGTAGTCGATGGCATCTCTCACATCCCGAGGGAAAAGACAACCCTTGTGGGTTTCCAACCAACGTTCAAATGGCTTCCAAGCCTTGTACCTGTTCTTGAGAGTGTTACCTCTCCTTGCAGCAAAGAGGTGAACCCAACTTGCCTTTGGGTCCTCCAATGAATTGATCACCGTGACCACCGGCAGCTCTGCGTTGATCATCACCTGTGCCAGAAGGAGCGCATACTTCTTCCGCAACAACTCAAACCTCTGGGACCTCGTGTCAGGTGGGTCCTCTCTGTACTTCTTCTGTTTCCGCTTTGCATGCATCTCCAACACGCACAACACGCTAGTCTTTGTGAGGTGCTGGAATTCACCCTGCACTGTCACATCATCTCCAGTGGGCAGCCTGAAAAGTTGTCCAGCCGCAACCTGTGCTCTCAACCTCTTGAGTGGCCTTTCATTGTCCCACTTCCACAACATCAACTGAGCTACGACGTCCAGCTTCATCTCATCCACTATTGCAGGAAAACCACATGCCACTAAAGCCTCGCAGTCCTCCTGGTTGTCAAACGCTGCATCCAGCTGCAATGGAGTCGGATAGAGAAGCTGCAAATGACTCAAAATGCCAGGATCAATTAAAGGCCACTCCACAAAGCTGCCCATTCTCCATTAATACTACGTCCAATCTTGATTGGAAGGTGAAACGCCCCCAGACTACCTGAAATTCTTTGATAGCCCAAGCTTCGTCGGAATATAAATATTGTATGACTTCCAGTGACATGAACTCCACGTTCAGTTTGTTTCCAATTTGTTTCAACTCAAGCAACCGACAAGTCTTTGAATAAAAGCAGCGTTTGAGAAAGACAGCAAACCACAAGCAACCAAACTGTGTTGAACTGCATCACCTGAAAGTAAATCAAGAAGCAACTTCGTCTGAACATCTTCCAAAAGTGTCGAAATAAAACGTCTTTTGCAGCAGTCAGTAAAACCAAATAAAGTGAACCTTCGCGACATCCACGAACCCACTGAGGCAAAGGGCAAGAACCCAAACATAAAGCTCCACCCACCCACCCGGCCAAAACTGTGCTTCACATAGACACACTGAGCGCGCCCAGTGGAGCAAAGCCATCAATGCGAAGATGAGAGATCAGGAACTGGCGTGGATCATCAAAGAATTCGCGATGGTCCACTTCATGACTGAAAACTCGGGAGCGAGTTAGATACTCAGTAGTTAGGGGTTTATCCCTCACACAAATCCAATCCCACACTCAAATCTCTTTTCACCAATCGCCAAGCCAAGTCTGGCTTCAAGGGCCCTGTGAGCCATAGATATTGCGAACACTTCCCTATCAGACATGTGCGTGTCATCCTTGCAATGCCAGCGTGGCTGAACAATGCACAGGTTTTCATACGCCCTCAAGGGTGAGCAAAAATTGGCCACAGTTCATACTCCACCTTCTCAACGCTTCTACTTGAAGCAACGTTGGAACTCCATGCTTTCTCCTTTCTGCCAATCGATCTTCTTCAAATAGAGGGCAAGGTCCACGGCTTGGGTCATCTTGACCTTGTGGATGTCCTTATTGGCCGGAGAGAAATTGGACTGGATCCACTGCAGGTAGCGGTGGTGCTCACCATTTGACTCAGCCATCTTGATCAATTCCTCATAGGAAAGGTTGAGATCCTTGTACTTCTTCATCTTGATGATGGTGCGTCCCCAGTCTGCCACGGAGGCAACACCGGATGGCAAGGGAATACCAAATCCCTTCGGCAGCAAGTCATGCTGGGCCAAAGGCTTGCTCCCACGGGGCTTCTCCTCAGAGCTCTTCGGCACGAGGATCGGAAACTCCGAGCCATTTGACACCTCATCCCATTCGGATTCTGAGTCCAGGCGGCGCTTGGAGGCATCAGACATCGCTTGCTTGACCTCTTCAATCACACCAGCAGCGTTGACTGCCGTTCCACGTCCATGGATGTGATGAGAAATCTTCATCACCAAGCGATTGCCCTGCTCATGCACCACTGCTCTATGAAGGAGCTCGGCTGCGCGGTCCATCTCTGGCTCCGTCAAGGCGCCATCAGACACGGTGTCGCTTTTGGACATCTTTGAGGCACGGCCGGACATCCTATCTATGCAGGCAACTATGTCACTCCGTCGGCGGAGATAGGAAGCTTTACTGAACTGCCCAAATGCTGCGCTGTTTCATCGGCTGCATTCGGCTGGCAAAACTCTATACAAGTGCTTTGTCGGAAAACTGCATGATTACCCTTAAGGTTATCATCCGTACTCACAGGTTAATTAATTAAGGCCCTTACCTATCGATTTCCCCACATTTATTAATACACTATACATGCATGGAGATTCTAACGATTGGCTTGGCACTTCGGTTGCAGCATGCTATTGCTTTGGCAAAATGCCAGTTCTTCAAGGACTTTCATTTGTTGTTCGAGCCTAGAGGTAAAATCTAGATTCCCAAATTAGTTCGACAAAACAAACTGTTAAAAGTACATCCATTCAAACGTTCTCTGTCACTGTCTTCAAAGACATCGCTCTTTTTCATCTGCTGGATATGTCAGATTCGATCAAAGCATGCAGGGTCCAATAGTTCTGAACCATTTATCCAGATGGCACAAATCACCCATCGTGGATATACCAGAATCTGACCAAGAATGGCAATCAAAAGAGAATTGGGAAAAACGCCATAAACGCCCAGTGAAGTGTCCTGGAGACTCATTAAAATATGCTGATCAGTAAAGAAGAGGAGAGCACAGGATCCGGATCCAATGCGACTCACTCAAGCAAATACCGTGGTAACTTGCATCAATACATGGCCAATTGAAATCCGTAGGATGTTGAGGTGGAATTCACCACAGATAAACACAGCAAAAACCACAAACAAAACCGCTACGAAGAGACAAACAAGCAACGAATTCAGACACATCCAGGATTTTTCAAAATGGTAAGGCCATTGAAACATGCAGTGCAGAAGTACGGACATCTCCACATGATTGATATCGGTCACTTCCAATGTGGAGAGATGACCATGACTGCAAATACAGACCTGGAGGACCAGGAAAAATACATGGTGCAGCTAAACGAGCTGATCTGAGGCGTGGAATAAATATCCGAAAATACGATCACAATCTGGATGATGACTTTGTCACCCGCGCTGGATCCAGCATGCAACTGGAAATGCACCACGCCAAATAAGCGGTAGAAGATGAAACAAACAACATGACTACAAACCCCAAAAGAGAACGCAACAGGTGAGGGGGGGAGGGAAAACAAAAATGTTAAACATACAAATGAAAGTCCTTGAGCCAAAATGGAAACAGGAACAAAGAAGATCCTTGCAAAACAAAGTGAACAAGTACACTAACCGTTCTTCAAGGACTTTCATTTGTTGTTCGAGCCTAGAGGTAAAATCTAGATTCCCAAATTAGTTCGACAAAACAAACTGTTAAAAGTACATCCATTCAAACGTTCTCTGTCACTGTCTTCAAAGACATCGCTCTTTTTCATCTGCTGGATATGTCAGATTCGATCAAAGCATGCAGGGTCCAATAGTTCTGAACCATTTATCCAGATGGCACAAATCACCCAACAAAAACTATCTGGGGAAATGGTTATCGCCAAGAACACCCCCACAAACAGAAGTGAGAACCATTCCAGCAGATAAAGAAAGCGATAGAGAACCGTGGAGTCGCTAGAATCTTAGATTCTGAGACAAGAATGGCTCAGCGAAGTGTCTCACGGAAAGTGCTCAAAAGAGGAAGTGATCAGTGGTGAAGACATAAACGGCAAAATAACGTAGGGCTGGTATACCAAAAATGTAAGTAGTCCAATGGTGATATATTGGAGAAGACGTAAACCGAAAAATTTGGAATTGATCACAAAGTCCTCCACATAGTGCAAGAAGTGGGACCGAATTGGAAATAACGTTGAATACATTGAACGAAGAACGAGTATAAGTGTTGATGTCCCAACGAAAAATAACCACAATAGCAGAAAAACATTGCATAAAATCCACGGCCACATCCAGAGCTGGCAGAAATATGGTGGATGTGGTACTAGGTGCCCCTGAATGGGTTCCAAGTTTGCGGGGAATCCAGCCCCGAGAGGCGTCTTAATAAAAATTCGGAGATGTGGGTGGCGTCGAACTGCGTCGCGTTCTGGGGGTAATAGACTTCTTGATAGATCTCCGCCGAAGCTTGCTCATGAAGTTCTTGAAGTAATGGCCAGAAGCTGCCGATGAGTTTTTTGGGTGGCCATTTGCCGAAGAGCTCGTCCGATGGGTCTAGTCTGGTCCAGCTGTTGGCGTCTAATAGCAATGGCACCATCCTTCCGTTCCTGAGGCCGAAGCCCCAGTTACCCCGTCCACAATCTTTCAACCTGAATCCTGTCTTGGAGACCATCGCGATGGCCAGCGCCAGGCGATATGTGATTTCCTCAGGGTCCAAACCTGAGAAGTCTGCTTGACTATAAGGAATAAGCCTCTCGCAGATCATGAAGTGGAAGTGAACCTGCTGAATGGGTCCAGCCGCCGGCCGATTGGGCTCCAGTAGGGAGATCCAAGAATGGAACTCCTGGATGAACTGAGCAGTGAAGTCCGGGATCTGACGAAATGCTCTGATTTCTTCTGTTGTATACGAAAGGTCTTCCGTCGCCGGACTGAGTTTAAATGCTAATCGTGGGTATTCTGTGGAGGCGAAAACTTTGCGCCACGCGCCAATGTACGATGGACCTGAGATCAATGTCAATGGTCTGTATGTGGGTCCTTCATCTCGAAGAAACTTAAATTGACCACGAAGAACGTCTGGGAGGCGCTCAATGAGTTTGAAGTCTGTTTTCCGTGTGCGGCTGCGCGTTGGGTTCGTCAACACACCGCCCAAAACCAATTGGAATGGTCCTTTGATGGAGTGAAGTCGAGGTAACCTCGGGGCTAGTAATGACAGTTGCCGAGGTTGGATGTTCGCATCGGTCAGAATCTCGTCCAAGTCCTGTGAGCTATCTTCTGATGAACTCAGGTCCCGAGGGATGGGTCGGGCACGGGCTTTGGATGAGGAGGCGGCCATCAATGAATACAAAGTGATACACAAAGAGGAGCAGGTGAACGAAAAAAAAGGCACACCCACAGAGCACAATAATATCTCGAGTCCGTCTTGATCCAAAATGAGGTGGAAAAGACATTGAAATTGACACGATGGAGTTCGGATAGCCGCCTGTCTATGTTTCAGGGAAAAAACAGAATAGATGTACCCAGAATTGGAAGCCGTGTCCCTCTGCCAATTTAGGCTACAAATTATGAACTCGAAAAACATTATAATATCAGAGGTGAGTGCAAATGGAGCTTGTCTCCGATCACGCACTGGAAAAATTGCATTCTTGAACACGAAGAGGAGAGCCAATAATATGGAATACAAGCGTACTGAAACTCCCTATTGGAGGGGAGATTCATGATGAAGTGCTTGAGAAAGGCATTGATCTCCAGGAGAATAATATCTCGCCATAATAAATCCAGGTGGAGCGATGACCAGAAGTTGCACTGACCACATCGCAATAAATAAAATCGTCGAAGAAGCCCCCCAACAGTTGACCAGGAAAATAAATCCAGAGGAAAGTTCAAATATCTGATGCGGTGCCTGACTGGAGATGGAAAGTTCTGTAAGCCAACCTCGTTGGTAGCGGCTCGGAATCTCCGACGAAGTAAACCATCCTATGATACTGGATTTTGAAAACAATTACTATGCTGGGCACCGCCCTCTTTGCTTACACAATCCTCCACCGGAGGTTGACAATTCACGACTGTCTGGGCTACAACCGCACCCTCAGGGAGTGGGTGCCCATTCTCTTTTTAGGGGCCCACAGGGGGTTCCACCTTCTCGGTCAGTTCTGACACGAGAGCCCCGGAGGGCTTCATTACTTGGCCATTGGGTTCTGTGGCCTGGCCATTGGGTCCCGTGACCAATTCGGGAACCACCGGTTCCCTTCTTGAGTTAGAGAACCACCGGTTCCCTTCGTAAATTGCACCCACATGCAAACTATCTGGGTCCAAATATTCGTCTCTAAGGGAGCTAGAGCACCGAAAACCAGGCCATCCAATAGAAAATAACATTCCGGGGTTTTGGGACATATCAAAACATAGGGAGCAGGAAAGACACGCAATCCTTTGGCTGCCCTTTAACGCGAAAAGAAAAATATCAATCAAACTGTGATCACCGATCACTCGTGTCTGTCCACCGGATCAGCACTTTCTGACTCCAAATCCTTGGAGATGAACTACCCTGCACGGGTATAACGCATCATGCTGGTACGCATGAGACAGGATGACCCATCCTGTTCAACTGCCCACACCGTGGGTAAACGCAGTCTGGAGACATCCAGACATAATATAACGCAAAAAACAGGCAACCTGCCTGAAAAAATTTGGAAACGCATGCTGAGAACCTCCCAGCATATAACTGTGACTAAATGAAGTCATGCAAGACACACATCGTGTTGCCAAACAATGCCTCATAGTCCAAAACAATCCAGAAAATCCACGAGCTTGATGAAGTGAAAAATACCCAAATACCCCACGAAGTCGGTCTGACCCATCCGGTTTAACTGCCCACACCGTGGGGAAACGCAGTCTGGAGACTTCCAGACATAACAGAACGCAAACAACAGGCAACCTGCCTGGGAAATTTGAAAACGCATGCTGGTAACCTCCCCGCATATAACCGTGACTAAAAGAAGTCATGAAAGGCACACACCGTGTTGCCAAACGACGTCTTATAGTCCAAGATAGTCCCAAAAAATCCACGATCTTGATGAAGCGGGAAATGCCCAAATACCCCACGAAGTCTGTCTGACTCTCATGTGGGCTGAGTGGTCACGCCACAAGGAGGGACCCCCCCCTTTCTTCTCACAATTGGAAAACGCATCTCTGTGATTGGTTTATCAGGGATGTCCACACGACAGCCCTTAGGTACTTGTCCAAACTGCGGTTTGGATCCGACTGGTGTCCCTGGGAAAAACGCTGTGCAGAAGTAAACTTCTCATGAAGCGGTGGATCCCCGGACCACCATGTGGCCTTGACGGAGGGTGGAGTAAAGTTGAAG